GGTATGCACCAGGACGTGGTGAAGTTCGTTGCCTCCTGCGAGAAGTGCTTGTCTTACAAGGCTCAAAATCACAAACCTTGGGAGCAATGGGCCGCCCGAAGCAGTGTTCTAGGCCATTTCAAATGATTTCAATTGATTTGATGGGCCCCTTGCCTGTCACTAGGAAGCAGAACACTTATATCTTCGTAGTCACATGCTGCTTCTCGAAATATTGCCTAATTTTCCCATTAAGAAGTGCTACTGCCACTACAGTCACGAAGTTACTGGAAGAGTCTGTTTTCCTCGTCCATGGTGTCCCTCAGACCATATTTTTGGACAATGGCGGCCAGTTTATTTCGAAGGTCACTGAGTCACTTTTCCATCGTTATAAGGTCCCTAACGTGTTCTTCACGCCAAAGTACACCCCTCAAATTAATTTGGTAGAACGACATAATCGTTCAATTATCACGTGTATCTCAACTTTCGTGGACAACGATCATCGCAGTTGGGATACATATATTCCGAAGGTTCAGTTCGCCCTCAACAATTCGGTGAGTGAGGCGACTGGTTTCACTCCATCCTTCCTGGTGTTCGGCAGGGAGCTCGTTACATGTGGCTCGCATTATTTTGATATCGATTTAGGCGATGAGGTTTTATTCCTTCCCCGTGACATCTACTTGGAGGATTTAGGTTGTCTTAAGGAAGTTTTCGATACTGTAAAGGCCAAATTGTGGCATGCTCATGCTAAAAACTCAACCCACTATAACCTTCGGCGCAAGCCTATGGTATTTAACATTGGTGTCAGTGTAATGTAACGCGCATATGTTTTAAGTGATAAGGATAAGTTCTTTAGTAAAAAACTTGCGCCAAAATTTATTAAATGTCGCGTCATCGGTAAAAAGTCACCCCTAGTTTACATCCTGGCTGACATGTCTGGGAAAGATATTGGCACCTGGCACATCAAGGATTTGAAATTAACAGGACACAATACTTAGTCATATATGTATACACTTTTTTTAAAGTGGCACTTCCCCCGTGTGGTGTCGGGTTAGAATAGCACCACCCCATTTCTTCCTGTGGGTGTCGTAAAAGTCGACTAAGGGATAGGGTAGTAGTGTGTTGTGGGAGATGGGCTAGCAACCATCACTGCAATATCACAAGATCTCCATGTTACACCTACAAGTACACTTAATTAAGTTGCATGTGTTCTGCTTGTTACTTAGGAATACACTAGCGTTATATTTATATATATACATGGTGCTCGTTTTACCCTGGTCACACTTTTTACATTTTTAGCTCTAGGTATTCGTATGGGTCTTCCAGTCTAACCGATGCTGGAACACCTTGCCAAATGACAGGATGCGTCAACTACCCTATTGATGTTCGTTGACGCTGATATAATCGCGTGAAGTATGAGAGATGTCGTATAAAAGGATAATGCGAATACATAACAATTTAGAGCGGATTTTATTAATTAAGAATAATAAAATCGTTATGTAGCGCGCGGGGTACTGTAACGTTGCACGTACATGTATGCATAATTATAATTAAACGGTTTATTAAAATTAAATAAACATTTAATAAACTAAATAAAAATAAAATAAAAGTTATTAACAAAAATAATTCTATAATTAACTTAGGTATCCTATTAATTAAACAAATCAGTAAACTAAAAGAACGAATTAAATAATAAATCAAATATTAAAATATTGTATTTTGAACAAACACTCTGACGCTTCGTTACTCTATGCGCTTTGCAACTCTCGCGTCAGAGTTTTACCCGGCCGGTATCATTCCACGGCGTCGCGCTCCCGGTCATTCTCCGCCCGAGCGCCCTGGGAGGGGCACACTACCACTGCAGCCGCGTTCACAAGCTCTGCTTTGTGTCCTCGTACGCGCTTGCAAATTTTAATCCCATTTTGGAAAAAGTTTAAAATAATATAATAATTCCGGCACTGTGGCCGTATAGTTTTTTCGTTAATTCTCGTCACCGAGACCTCCGTATCGTCTTGCACCCCGTAAGGGTAAGTGTTGAAACGTTACCTAGTTTTAAGTAGTGAAAGTGTTTTATAGGTAGTGTAATTTGATCATGCCAGGCTGTTTGCTTTTAGCTATTTAATTGCCACGTTATTAGTGTTATTTGCATGTAAGTAATGTATGTAGCCGCTGTGTGCGTTGGCAAAAGTACCGTTACAAAATGGCGTCTCATACATTTCGCACCGCGATCAAATATCGCAAGTCACCATCATGTTTCAACCAATGCACAGCCTAAATTAGTTATCCTGGTACATTTAAACAGTATTTTACACTTGCCGAAATTTTAATTCATGTGTATTTTAATTTGCGCCTCACCGCTATGACGCTTGCCTTCCATTCCGCCTTGTAACTCCGTTCTGATTATGAACACCCGCCAGCTACTCTCTGTGCTCCCATCTACTGCTAGCCTGCGATATACCGGGGGTTCATAATCGGCGGCATTTTATTACCTGGACCTAAATGTGGACGACGTTGTTTCCAGGGTGCAATTTTACGACTACAACCGTGGCGGTCGTCCTTCTTAAGAGGGCCTAGGCCTCCCCTCGACGCCGCCACCGCCACAGCCAGCTGCCCACGGCGCTCCCCGTGAACAGTCCAACCCCCCCGGCCCTGCTCGACCACCTCGCGGCCACATAGGGGAGTACCTGACCCTGCCAGTGAAGCCAGACGGGCATTTTTTTAAATTATCGGAACCACGCCCACGACCTTTTCTTTTACCAATATATAATTTTTTTTATGACTGGTTGTTGCCTTATTTTAAATACCACCCGCCACACTATATGAAAGGAAGAACTCGTTGGGCTTTGCTGGTTATTCTGTTTCTATTGCAGATATTCTTATTTCTGAGTTCATCACGCAGTGAAACTCCGAGCATAGCCCTCCCCATAGCTCGCTTGGCGACCTTTAGCTTTGTCATACGGCTAGTAGTGAAGGACCAAGTCTCAGATCTGTAAGTCATCACTGGCAACTTGCACTGGTTGTATAATCACGTTTTCAGGTTTTAATGTATACCTGACTAGAAGATATGTCGTGATTTCCGGAACGTTGCACAGCCGACTTGAATGGGAATTACGAAATTATTATAAAATTCAAAGTGTTAAATTTAGGTATCATAATGCAATAGATGCTATATTAAAGTCGTAAACTGGTCAACACCACAATGTAGCTCTTAAACTACATAGGTTGTTTGATATTCTTTCATTACGAACTGTAGCATATTATTGCGTAACAGTCGTACTACGAGTACTACACGGTCTTAAAAATGATAAACAATTTTATGAACTTGTAGTGGCGGTAAGAATCCACTAAACCATATCGTCCCGTGAGCGACGTAAGAGGCGACAGAATGAAACAAAACTGGAGCTGGGCGGCAGCGTCTTCCTAATAACAACAAGAAAATAAAATAATACGGTTGCCAAACTACCCGCCAAGCCAAACTACCCGCCAAGGCAAACTACCCGCCAAGCCAAACTACATCTGAAAATTTATAAGAAGGTCCATGTTCAGCGGTGGACTCTATTAAATTACGGTGGCGGTGAGACTGTATTAAATTACGTGATCATTTTTACCTGTCGCCTAGGAAAACAGTACTCGTACAAAATACTATTTTTAAAAAATTGTTTTAATACATAAGAGAGGAAAGTAATGGTTATATTTTTATCAACCTTTTGAGTTCCTGAATGGAAAATCAATATAATACACCTTTGAAATGAATTTAAATATACTATCTATTTTTTTTAGCGAGGAACCTTTTAATTGAATACGAGTATTTAGATCTTAATCCTAAAGGCTAATAACACATCTGTATTTTTATTCTTAAATATTACTTCGGAATTTTGATAGCGCCATTTTGGCTGTGATTTGTTTCGCTTGTGGTGCGACGACAGCGCCACCACAATGTCTATGGGCCACAGTATCCACTTACCATGAGATTGACTATGTGCTCGTTTGTTACCCTCAACCTTTACAAAGGAGTTCATCATTATCATAAGAGTCAACAAGAAAGGCCACAAAACACGTTCCTGAGCTACTTGCATTCATAAAAGTCCTGTAAATCCAAGCAGGTCGTCACTCTATAGTGGCAGGCTACCTTATATTCCGCTTATCGGTACCAGATTGCTACTCAAGATGAATTCTCTAGATTTCGTATTCAGTCTTTGCATCGAGTATAACGCTGGAGCTAAGTCAAGTTTTAATGTAGTACTTTATATTGAGCGATCATCCTTATCGCTTAGATGTCTTTTACTAATAATATAATTATAATTCACATGTTCATGTAATCTCAATCTATTTATACCGGTTTTTTTTTAATATAATAAGAAAATATTACTTCTAACTTCACAATTCCTTTCAGTATTGTATCGCGTATTTAGTTCTACCTGAATAAGGTGGAACCTAAACGCAAGGTGACATTTTGGCTTGTATAATTTTATATATGCTGTCGAATGGTGCTTCCAAATAATTTTTATAGGATAAGGGTAACAAATGAGCACACAGTCCACCTAATAGTAAGTGGTTGCTTTGGTTCATACACATATATATCTATCCTGGATTACGAATCGAAATGCAGATGCGTTATCGCCGATGAGATTTAAGATCGAATGCCTCATTTCCATTTAAAAGGATCTGTGGTTCTCTACAATCAACATACAAAACACAGCAGTGTTAAGCTGTTATTTTACGCTAGTATTATGTGTGAGCGTGGTCCTAAGCCGGTCAAGAAGAACCGTTCTAACTACAACTATAATATAACTGAAACATGGCACTACCACGTATGATTTTATATTTTTTGGGTTTTCTCTTACGAAACCCATGGCAAGAAATGGGTTGATAGATTGTGTAATGCTGCCATTACGAGGGAAAATAAAATTGTGATATATCTTGGGCCTAATTTGTCATATCTTTTTTTTAAATGTAACGAGCTTCAATTTAATTCATCATTTTGGAATTGATATTGTACTTTTATTGTCGGTAGTTTTAAGAAATTATTGCATACTAAATATACAAATAAATAAATGTACTGGTGCGTAATGATCGCCACAATCATTCGCTAATGCTGAGTGCAAGTTGTTTCTGGGTCTGGCATTATATTTTACTTCTTTATATACCTAAAAAAAATTTCAATGTTATAATTAACGTACTTAGTACTAGCTTTATGTTAAGATCAACAAAAAATTATCTCTACTAGACAGTGCCGTCGCAAACGAGGGCAATTGCATTAACAACCTAATTTATCGGGTGTTTACGTTTTATACAAATTTTGTGACAATTAATTTTGAAACAATAATATATAATAAAAATAGTAAAGGTAAACATAGACTTTACTATAAAAGAATGAAATAATTTGCACACAATTGCTTTGTGTTAGAGCTATGCTGCAGCTATATTGTGGTTGTAGAACGAATGGGTCTGCTCGACCAGGGAAGGACCACGCCCTCACAAAATACCAGCCTAACTATGACGATGCATCTGCATATTGATTCTTAATCGAATATAAATGTCTATAGGCCACAGCTGCACGTGTAAGTGATTTGTAAGGAATTTGTTTGATTTTGTTAAGTATATTAATAATGTTGATTTGCACTTTTTTTAAGTTAAATTATTTTTCCCATTTGCGTGGAATTGGTTAAAACGCAAGATCAAAGTGACCACAGGAACATTATATGTTAAAAAATTAATTTCCTATTTTTCTACCTTTATGGGAGAAATTTTTCCTAGGCTATAAATACCACCTTTGAAATATACTTTATTCAATAAAACAAAATAATTAAAATTTATCGTAAAGTAAAAAATAAAATATGACAATAAAATAATAAAACATAATATCAGTGTCAAAATAAAACAAGACATGTTTTAATGATATTCGTGATATTTACATATTTAACGTAGCAATTACAGATCTTTTAAATTGTTGGAACTAAAAATATCCAGACCAGCTTTACTAGTATGTCTCAGCCGTATTATAGTCAAAATTTTAACACATTCTAATGACGGGATTAAAGAAAAAAAAATTCACCGCTTAAGAAAATATTATCGATTAGAGTTATGTGGAAATTACAGCTTAAACGAAACTTTACTTCGACGTAACTTTTGTAATGATTCAATTAGGTTCGTTGACAAAGCATGGCGACACGAATAACGCATTAGGGTTTACTAGAACTTTTTGACAGCTGACTGATGCCCATTATCACGTAAACTAAAACTATATCTCGTCGGTCCAGATGAATAGGGAATTATCTCAAAAACAGTGATTTTTCAGGAGAGCAGTTTTTAAGTTTCATCCAGGAATAATTTAGCCTTTATTACTATTTAGCCGACTTGACCTATATACATTTTAAGCCTACATATTTAACAATAATTCGCATTTTTTTTACTTATATTTAGTTAAGTGGTTTTGAGAAAATCCTGAAATTATTCAGAAAAGTGTATAATAATATCCTTTATAACATAAAATATTTGTAAAACAAAGTTTTAACTCAAAATTATTTATTTCTATTAAATTGAATTCTGGGGTTCCATTACTATTATCCATATATTTTTTTGTGAAATTTGTGGTAACTAGTAATTATTTTAGCGTTAGTGTTTATTTTACGTTAATAATTTAACTATTATGTTTTTAAAAAATAAAATCTATTATATTAACTTGTTTCTTAAATTTTTTGTACTAGTTCAAAGATAATACCGATTGAAAACCAAAATATTGTTTTAAAAAGTCTTTATTATATATCATATAAATTATATAACTCGTGGATATCTTAAGAACCATTACAATAACCAAATTTCTTGACACCATATCCTTTTGTATTATTAATATTTTGTCGTGATTGACATTGGTAGAGTAACTAATAGGAATCGGTTAAACAATACCATTAATCTTATTTCATAATTACAAAGATTATCGAAAACTATGAAAAGAAAACTACAAAATTAAATAGTTATTATAAAATAAACTCTTTTCATCATTGACATTAGTTAGTGCCTACAATAATAGGAATCAGTACAATATGCTTTGCATCATTAATCTTATACTAAAATAACGAATACCAAACAAAGAAAACATAACTACCACAAAAAAAATTATTATAAACTCAACATTATGTAACTTTTCATAATCACAAAGAAACGCTTTAACAAGTTTTTTACAGTAAAATATGTATTATCTTCAAAATTTGCTTGCAATATGATTCAGTACAAAATATTTTGCATTATTATTATAGTCTTTTAGGTAAAAATAACATTAAAAATATACCCGTCTAACCATAAAATGGCTTTGTTACTTCTTAGCTTATCTATGAAGAAATGAGAGTAATGTTAACCAGTACAAAAGTAACGAAAAAAAGACGTGTGGCACTCGGGGATTGCCGCGGTAAAGCTATTGCGTAGCATTTTTTATCAACTTATGCAATTATAATTAATTATTTATTTTATTTATGCAGTTAAGTCTTTGATATTAAATCAAGTTACACTTTTTGAGCGTGGTGACCGATAAGAAAACAATTTTTTTTCTCTTATTGTATAAATGAGAAGTTAATATTGTTTACCACTTGTGTTTGCCGCGCTTTGTCTCGTCACGGAGTGGCGAAATCACAGTAATATAGGTATTTTATAAACAGCACTTGTCTAATATTATGAAATATGTAGATAAAACTTAAAACTTACCTTGATAAATGTATACCCTTTTGTTTGTAATATTTTTTTTAGACCTCTCTTCAATCGTTTCTGCTTATTCCCCATGTTTTACAAACTAAACTTAAACATTAATAATACTGTACAATTAATATAACTATAAAACACTACTATTAAACAAGAATCAGAAAAAACCTACTCCACTATTAACAAAATTAAATTTTTGCAGTAATATTTTACGATTTTATTTCGTAGTGCTGAGCTCTCGCAACGCGGCGTACGTCCACCTAGCAACATGATGCGCCCCGCACTGAATTCGTGGACGAATGCGGGGGGTGATATAGACGCAGTATTTAATCGGGACGCATTTTTAATTTATTATCATAAAAATAATACATATTTCTAAAAAGTAACCAAACCAAATTATTTTATTTTGTATTGCAAAGCAGTAGATATTTTTTTATATTCCTTTAATAAACAATGAAGGAGTAAAGTGGTTTCATCTCAACGATTTGGAGGTGATTTGGGTATTTTTTTATTTATTATGTGACACCGATAGAAAAATTATGGCTAAACCAAATTACGTATCAGATCATGTAGATTACTAGCTATTTTTTTCATATGTAATTTCTCTGTAAGTGTCGACGAAAAGTTGGTTCATCTGCACACTTTTTTCAAGCTTTTTGCGAGAGAGAAGCCTTAATAATCAATGCACTTTGTTCATTCATATTCAAAATTTCAAAACACTTTATACACAAACATCGTGTCGAAGACTGAGGAAAAGAAACGACGTTAGACCATCGTTAGATAATGCACGGCCTTCAAGCCACACCTCCGTGCCCGTCGGAGAGCGTAAGGTTTTTTTCGTTACGAAATTTCTGGAATTTCCCGCACTCAAGGCCCGCGATAGAAGCTATGCAATAGCTTAAAAAGTAATAGGTAAGCAATAATTATCAACAAATATTACAGAGTTTCATAAAAAGTTCTGTAATATTGAGGAATATTATTTTTGTCAATTACGTTTAGGAAACTTTGTTATTTTTTTGTTCAGGTATTTTAATTTTTTCTGTATACCTGTTGAAGTTCAACGTTCTTTAAATTTGGTTGGTTGCGACGCCTTATATTGAACAATTTAACCTCTTTAAAATCTGTATCCACATAGGATGGCTTGTATAGAACTAAATCTTTATTTTAACTTGATTTAATGATATTCATTTTAACAAGTTCATTGGCAGTATTTTTTGATGGCAATGCTTTACATATCTGGTCAGACATAGCTTTAATATCAAAAAATGAGTTGTATGACAATTCGTTTAAAACGAAGAGCTTGCCAATTAATTTTTGCGAACGTATCAAATAATAATATTGATCTGGTGAATAAATTGCAGCAGATTTTAGTCATGCCTTTATTCTTCTTTCAATAAGGGAGTGGGCACTGTCAACTTCGTTAGCGCTATGGCCTTTTATCAAAAATTTATGACTTATTGACAATAATTTAGGAAACTTTCTAAAAGCTAGCAGATAGGTGTGCAACATGAATTTATTCTTCTGCTGCCCACAACAATTGTCACTATAAAAAACCATGTGAAATGGTTCTGACGCGTTATTGACAAGTTTTTCCAGATACAAGAAGCAATTTCATTCACTCCTCTGTGGCCATCTCCTTCGTGGCATGCATAGCATTCTACTTCTTTAGTTTTAAAATTATATACCTATTGTGAAATTCAAAACGTTTAATTTAGATAAATAATAAAAAGGTGGAAACATCACCACGGGGACAAGGCAAAACCGCCTGTAAATCATAAACCACTACAATAACGGTATCGATAATGTTTTGGTCAGCCTCTTTTTCTTTTCTGGACATGTTTTTTTTTCGTATTCGGCTCGTAAATTTTCTTTGGCTTCACCTATGGCATTATCAAAGGCAACACATGTATCACACAAATCTTTTTTGGCGAGTGAAATGCAATATTAAATTCATTATGAAAAATACCATGGTAAGCTAAGTGATTTCCGAACGGTTTGTTTTGATTTTTACAACTGTCCACATAATCGCGGTAGTATTGCGCTAGAGACCGCCCTCCATCAATGTGTATTTTTTTTTTGTATAGTACTACGGACAATAGTGACTTTCTAATAGTAGGTATAGAATTTATATGCTTGCGTATTTCAAATTTAACCGATTCTGGTATTTTAAGGTGATTTCCATGTTTACCTCCTAAGTCTCTTGTAACCACGTTGGTTGTATTAGGGTCTTTCTCTTTCAGTGCTGTTTTTATTACTTTATCATTGATACTAAGTGTTGACTCGGTCAGTAACATCTTGAGCCTGATTTAGAAAACCAAACGATTAGTAGTTGCAATCAATAATATTACCTTAGTAATGATTATTTCGGTACCTTCAGCTGATTCTACAACGTTGTCAAGATAGTAAGAATTTGTTGCCAATGGTTCTTCAACATTGGGTTTTGTGACATTATTTTTATCGGAATTTTCTTTATTTGTCACTATAATAAAGATAAATTTCAAATTAATACCATTCTAAATCAATTACTTTGTTAAACCAGAGCTTAATTAATTGCAATCAATAATAAAACTTTTCAAATAATTTCGGTACCTTCATCTGGTTCTCCAACGTAGTCAGTACTGTTAGAATTCGTAGCCAATGGCTCTTCAGTATTGGATTGAGTGACAGGCAGTATGTCAGTATAATAAAAAGTTGTCACCCTTGGCTTTTCAGCATTGGATTGAGTAACAGAGAGTATATCAGTACAATTAGAATGAGTAGCCACTGACTCTTCAGTATTGGGTTGAGTGACGTACAGTATGTCATTTTTATTAACTAAACTTTCTTGGTTAGTCACTAAAGAATTTTTTTATCCAAAAAATTAGAACAATTCTTAATATTAATAAATATTTCACATATAAAGACTACTATAATTAATTCGATTACACACTAATTTTGAACAATAAAACTCTTCAGCATTGGGTTGAGTGACGTACAGTATGTCATTTTTATTAACTAAACTTTCTTGGTTTGTCACTAAAGAATTTTCTTTATCCAAAAAATTAGAACAATTCTTAATATTAATAAATATTTCACAGATAATGACTACTATAATTAATTCGATTACACACTAATTTTGAACAATAAAACTTACCCACAGATTCAGTATTACTATGTTATAAATAGCATCTGATTCTGTCTGATCTCTTGAATCAGGTGGTTTATTAAAATTCCTTATTTTCAATAGTCGTTGTGGCATCATTCTACAAGATAACATTGAAGATTCTATTATACAAAGCTAATTTAAGTTAAAACAGAAACAATTTGAAATCATTATGTTAAAAATAACACTTTAGTTTACCTAAAATACTGTAAAGTTATACTTTTTTCTGAACTATAACGAACCATTAGCAATAACTATCGAATAAAACCCACTACAAAACTAACCAATACAAAATTTATTTTAACATTAAAAATAATTCATGCTTTTTAATTAAAAAGGAATAAAAAATTATTAAGTGTATAAAACTTTGAATAACAATACCTGTATTTCAAATAAGTACCTAAACAATTCAATCAAAACTACTATAAAAAAACAGTACTATCTCATGATTATCTCGAAATTCGCCATTGTTTTAGAAATAAATAACAACTAATTCGATAAAACTTTGAGCAACTTAATAGTATCTGAAATAAGTTCCGTAAACTCTATAATAACCAATAATAATTACATTAAAAACTATCCTAAGAGGGTATTATCTTGAAATTTTCCTTTTTTTAGAAATAAATAGCAACTAATTCTGTTAATCTTTGAGCAACATAATAGTATCTCAAATAAGTACCCTATACTGTAAAATAACCATAATAATTTAATAAAAAATTATTGTAAAGAAGGTATTATGACAAAATTGGTCTTTATTTTAGAAACAAATATTTTTAAAATAAACTTACATTATAATTAACACAGCACTTTTTGGTTTTAATGCCGTGTTCACGAAACGAACAGCGATCTTTCACTCTAGATTCACGCGTAAGACCGAATAAGACTATCTTGGTCATAGCTTAGGGCCTAAATGCGCAAAAAGGACGGAGATACTACCATTACCCCCGCGCAATTTTACCTCTGATCGTTGTAAGACCTTGTTCGTTAGAAATATCTCGATTTTTTTTATTAAGACTGCGTAGGTACCTATATAAGTCAAAAGTCGAAATTTTTGAGTTGATACCCTGTTCATCCAAGTCAACGATTCTGTAGTTTCAGTTTTTAGTACAAACACATTGAATACAAAGTAAATTTTAACGTTTTCACGGTTGGGCTTGACTACGAATTTTTAATACAAAATATACGAAATATTGGTGCCAAAGGTAAAATTTCGTAAATTATGACCTACACCTATGATCTCATAAGAGTAAAAATACAGAAACCTTGTCACACCTTACCATATTAATAAACCCCTTCTTAAATTGCTACGCCCGTATTTGTTGTCACAAATATATATGTACCTAAATATACTGTAACAACTTTATCCTTGTGACATGCAAAAAATGAATTATGAGATTATGAATTTGCAGTCACCTGGGTAGTTACCACCACCTTCCTATATCTAAAGCTAAAAAGCAGTGCATTGCTGAGATCCGGTCTGAGGGTATAGAGAGTCAGTAGTAGGATGTAAGGCATTCCATCTTAGTCCTCAGAGGTAACAATGCAGTTGAAAGCTTCGTTGTTTGAAATTCATTGCAACTTTCCATATTTTGCAGTCACCAGTTACCGTCAGTTGGATTATGAGTATGTTTTTCACTTCAGTTTAAAAATACTAGGATTAAATTAATTATTACTATTAAAGAGAGTCTCTGATAGATGATATTTTTATGGCGGATGACTTGAAAAAAGCGAATGATGCTTCTAATTTAAATTAACAAAAGGACCACGCCTTCCCCTGACTAGCCGACCCATTCATGTTGAGTTGCCATAATACAGCTCCAGCGTGGCTTTACAACGTTGAGTCACTAAAAAGTAAGAGTGAAAAAATTAAAAAGTGTTGAATAAGACTAAATTTACGGATTTTATCGCGTTTATTTAACTGATTTTACTTATTTTTAATTCCCGACGTTTCGGGTGCTTTACAGCACCCATGGTCACGGGGGGGACTGAGATGTTTGACGTCCCAATGGCATAGTTAGCCCGGCTACCTTCAGTTTTTTAATATTAATTTTTCAAATTAATTTTTTTTCCACAAATTTTTTTTTCCAAGAAATCATTAAATAAAAAAGTACTTATTTATTTAAAATTATTAATAAGAATGAATCGAATGTCACTATCTATAGACCTCTTGTTACAAGTTTCATATTTCTTATATATTTTAAATTTAAGTTTTTTTTTGAGTATTATTTCAGTCTTAGAGTCGCGAGGGAAAATTTTTGGTAAAAGATTTTCCCGTAAAATTCGAATGTCTCACTTTTAACTAAAACACCCAAAAACAACCGCAATACATCCTCGCAATAACCGTCCGATACTTATCAAAATTACGTTTCGAAGTAACAGCATAATAAATATTTACGATACTTAAACGAGGGAATTTCGTACATAGTTTGGAACCAACTCACTTTTACGTTTACGGTAAAGACGTACGTCATCAATATTCAATTACAGCTTGAAGTGTAACGCTTACAATGTTAATACGAGTCTTTCACAACATAAAAAAAATCAAATTTTTCGTTTTACATTCATATTACCACTTTTAGCACAGATGTTTATTTTAAAGATATCTCAGCGTAGAGCACATGGTAATTCAGAATTGTCGTTGCACTGTGGTTTTCGAAGTCTCAGTAACGAATGATTTGCTGAGACCGCAGCCTCGAAATAAGTATTGGTGTTGCTAACAAATATTGATTGTAGTTATAGATTGTTCCAGATCTAGATGTTTGTCTATGTGCAAATTATGTATGTTAACCCCTCCATGATGCAGAAAATCTTAGTATGGGGGGTAACTATTATGGGTTAGTGGATTCTCTTAAGGCCATTCTCTTAGCCATGGGTAGGTCATACGTAAAGATATTCAGACCGGTGACAGGGAGCTATGTCAAAAGTGCCAGACAATTGGTACTGTATCACCAATGAGCCTGCCAAGTGTAACGATTAAGACAATTCCTCTCCATAACGGTAGAGGCGCTGTAATGGATTAACACTGACTGACGATGAAGAAAAATTTTTGTTTATTAGCACTGAATGAAATAATAGGAATTATTTTTATTCAATATATATTATTGCATAACTTTTATTGAAATTCATTTTTTTATTACCACTGTTTCGTAAAATACCTCTGTCATGGGGAAAACCAACAAGAAATAAAGAACGAGATTTTGTTTTTAAACATATTTCACATCAAAATAATTTTATTGTACAATTTTTATTTTTATATTTTTTTATGATTTTGAGACCAGCATGGTAGCGATCACCTCATTCCCAGGGGTTATTTTCATTGATATTGTAGTAACTATTGTACTATAATATATTATATTGATATTCTAGTAAGATGGTAGCGATCACCTCATTCCCAGGGGTTATTTTCATTGATATTGTAGTAAAAAGGGGATAAGTCGCTCGCGTCCGTAATTTTCTACCACCTAATCCCAGGCCCACCCTACACGTTTCCCCCGGGTGGTGCTAAAAGAGCGACAAAGCCGAAAAAACAGACTCGGCTACTCGCCGTGTGGTAGCGGCGTAAAATATACCACCCCCTTGTTTTCGCACCATGAGGCAAAGAGGAAAAGAAATGGCCCCGAGTTCCCGGCGTCTCTTTAATGGGGCAGGGGTGCGAAGAATCTCTGAGAGGAAAACCGGCGACGAGGTTCGCCACCCGTCACGTTCTGTCTCCCGGAGGGGTGAAAAGAGGATTGCGGAGGCCCGTCTAGCTACGCTGAATGTATGTGGAGCAATGAATGATAAGGTGGATGAAGTATGCGATATGATGTATGATAGAGGGATAGATGTATTATGCGTAAATGAGACGAAGCGGAAGGGAAAGGATGTCACTACACATGGCATATATACCGCGTACTGGTCCGGTGTAGACGAGACCGAGCGAGCATGCCAGGGAGTCGGTGTCATCCTTTCAGAAAGAATGGGTCAATGTGTGAAAGAGTATGAATGTGTAAGCTCGAGACTGCTATGGATAAAGAATAAAAGTAGGCCTAAAGAAGTTGTTTGTTCTAGGGGTCTACGCCCCAGACATGTCTAAGCCCACTTTATCGAGGCGTTTTGGTGGTAAGGATGGTGTTAATGAAATGTAAGGAAAATGAAAATATTGTTATGTTAGGAGATTTTAATGGAAGGGTTGGGGTGAGGAGGCTTGGTTATGAAAGGATACTGGGAACGTTTGGTGATGAAAGTATTAATGAGAATGGTGAAGGCCTCCTCACCGTATGTGTGTAAAGGAATCAATTTGTGACGAACACTTTCTTTCGTCATAAGAAGATTCACATATATACTTGGGAAAGAGGTGATGATAGAAGCATGACAGATTTCATAACTGTGGATGTAAGAATGAGGAGCGCAGTGGTGGATACAAGGGTTAAACGGGGGTCCAACGTAGGGACGGACTACTACCTGGTCTAATGCCGAATTAGGGGTTTATTCAGACGTTGGCTCCATCGGACATCTGTGTCTACCACTGCGTTACAGTGTATAAGAATTGAGAGGTTACAAGATGAAGATGTGAAAGACAAGTACAAATGTAGACTGAGATAAAATATAAGTGATTTGGATGAGTTGTGTATGAATGAGTTAGAGTTGGAGAATGTGTGGCATAATGTTAAGAAAGGTTTAGTGGATGCAGCTACCGAAGTATATGGTGTTAGTAAGAGAACGAATGAAAGGAAAGACAATACGTTATGGTGGGATGATGAGGTACGTATGAAATTTGAAGCAAAGAAGAGAGCATGGCTAGATTTACTAGCACCCAAAGCTGGTAACTTTGGCGGTAAGAATGATGAGATTGAAAGAAAAAAGGCAGAGTTTAAACGTCTAAATAAGAGAGTAAAAAAATAGTTGAAAGGAAAAAACAAGAAAGAATACAAGAATGATTATCGGATGGTTATTAGTTTGTGTAAGAATAGTAACAGCCTAGATTGAATGCGATACGAGACGAGAATGGCTGTATTTTAAATGATGAAGTGTTGAGTCTAAAGAGATGGAAGGAATATTTTGAAAGCGAATTTATGAGTGAGGATACGTGTGAACTAAATGAAATAGAAATTCCGAAA